ATATTAAAATTTTGGGGGATTGCTTGGAAAGGGTTGAAAAATTGCATACTTGAGGTAGTTTTCTTCCAATGCTTATTTTGTATATTGGTTGCTCTCTTGTGAGAAAGAGCTTAATGTTTGTGGATATCATTTCTGGAAACCTTCACGAGAGTTCACTCGTCCACTAGGGGTAACCTAGGGGTTCAAAAGGCTTGTTGCATACGCTAAATGCAATCGTGTTCCCTACGAAAGTGGTGCTATCATTTTACTGCTTTCTAGTTAGTAGTTACTTAGTTATTTCTTTCTTTCTTTCCTTGTAGCTCATTGCTAGGGACTAACAATATCTAAGTTTGGAGGTGTGATAAGTGCTCAAATGTGATACATTTTAGCACCTAAGGTAGGGTATTTTAGTCCATTCATCTATCTTACTTTTATGACTTAGTACTTATTTGTGTTTTTGCCTATTTCAGGTCAATAAAGTTCAAACTGACTAATAAGAGCCATTTAGCTAAATTTTGGAGCTAAGGAGCAAAGTTGGAAAGAAGCCAAGAAAATGCACCAGAGGAACTTCGATCGATTGAAGGGAGTCCTGATCGATCGAAGTCGGCTACAATTGATCAAAATGAGGCGGTGCCAGCTCAGCGTTTTGGATAGGCCCAAATAAAATATTTTTGAGCCACGTCAGCTTCGATGATCGAAGCTAAGTGTTTGATCAATCGAAGATCTTCGATCAATCGAACTGCCTGCTGGCAGTGTGCTGTCTAATTCCCTAGCGCGTCTGTTTCTACCTAACTTACGTGGCTGCGAATTTTTTCCGATTACAGGCTGTATTTCTAACTTGGTGACTAAGAAAAGAGGCTTGTATGAATTAATTGAACATTATTGTGAGGAATATCATAGAGTTTTATCTTACAAATTATAGAAATAATTTATCTATCTAGAACTAGGGTTTTGGGAAGAAAGCAAGGATAAAGATGATGATACCAACCTCCAAGCTAGCCCTTGAGAGTTCCATGACCACTTCAATAAGTGGCTAAATCCTTCTCTTGGGGCTAAAGATAGCCCCTAGGCTTGCTTCCTAAACCTAGCTTTTGTGTATTTTTGGGGATTTTAGTTGTAATAAATGTTTTGACCATGAATAAATATTAATCTTGTGATTTTTACTTGATTTGTATGGATTAATGTTTCCAATTAACCATTTAGTTCTATCCATATGTCTACGTATGCTAGAATTAATGTTCATGTTTTTGTCTCTAGATTTAATGAAATTGATACATGTCCATGTGTGTTGATATTGTTAATCTAGTGATGGTCAAGGCATGGTGCTTAATTGAACATTCTTGTGGTTTATTTGATGGTTCATACTTGTTTCTTGATGGATTGTGCCACACACTTAGTTTAATTTGTTTAAATTTCATGTCTCTAGCCTAAATATAGTGTCATTGCTTAAATTCTTAGATAGGTGGACAATCCATTCTTATTGCTTGATGTTCCATACTTATGAATGCAAAGAGTACATTTCTCTAGATTATTATGTGTGCATTAATTGTGGTTTAATTAAATAGTTATTGGTCTCATTTGATGGTGTCACGCCCAAAAAATTCAAATAAAATCCTCCATTTATTCAAATACAAATACAGCAAAATACACCCAGGATCACAAATATTGCCCTCTTTTTAGACAAAATTAATTTCCTCAAATATACAAAAAATTCTCCAAATAATAAAATAAATCCTCCATGCCGACTCTTCATCCTAAGCCTGTATCTATGATTCTGTCCATCTTCGGTACCTGAAACTGGAGGGTGGTGAGACAAAAAGTCCTAGTAGGAAAAACCATAACAAGAATTTCATGGAGGTTTAATAAAACAGCTTCACAACATAAACATATACATTTAATACATATGCATTTAATTAAAAACATTTAATAAAAACATTAAAGCAAAACCTCCCCATGCCATTCAAGGTATAGAGAACCCTACACTGAAAAGCATCAAGTCTCAAGCTCTGGCTTGCTCTGCTCTGCAATTCTCGAACCACTATCTGTTTCTCCCCCTAAAACTCTCGGCCCTCTCTATCTGCAACTCTCTCTCTCTCTGTCCTCAAACTATCTCTTATTTAGTGGCTTAAACACAACACACATTTAAATAACCAATTCCACCGACACAATTCCAGCCCAAGACCCACGTGCACAATTCAAGCCCAAGTAAACTTTGCCCAAAAAGTTAACTATCACTTACTACTCCATCAGACCACCCATGTGACGCCCACACTTTTGGCCAAACAAAAATAAAAAAGGATGTCAGATGATATCATCACTTTATGGCCCAAATATATCAGCCGGTCCCACCACCATCTCTATCTTCTTGTCTCTCATTATCAGCAACCAATCTTCCTTCACCATCTTATACACAAAACATTATACACATGACTTGGTCAAAAATTAAAAAAAAAACAAAAAGCAAAACCAAAGTTAATCATGACATCACCAAACCAAACCAAATCCCCTTTTCCATTCTTTCTGCTCACCCATTACTTCCGGTAGTACCTTCCCATCATCAAATGTATTAAATTTACACACACACATATATATATACACCATCATGCATTAAAATATATATATATATATATATATATATATATATATATAGATACATAAACAAAACTAAATAACTTGAATAGATAAATAATTAATTTAAATAGTCTAAAAATCATAAAATAATTAAATTACAATTTCAAAAAATTCGGGTCATCACAGATGGGTTGTGCTATTCACTAGTTTGACTAGACAATTTATACTTATTTGCCATCCATGCTTAATTTTCAATTAGTGACACACACATGCACATATTACAATTGAATTTCCCCATTAATTTACAATTGCTAGTGTTGGTGAAGTGAAGTTTAGTGGTGAACTCTAAACTCCAAGACCTCTCTCTCATATATCTTTCCCTAACTTCTAGATTGTTACTCTTTTGCATTGTTTTAATTGAATGTTAGTTTAATTAATCAATCAAACTATCTTTTCATCATTCGACCTACTAATCCAATAATTGATTCCAAAACACACTTCATTTCCCTTGGGACGATCCCTACTCACTTTAGCTACATTAATAGTTAGTAGTGGCAGTAGCATTCTATAAATTCAAACTTGGCCACATCTTTTCACTACACCAATTTGGGTGCACACGACGACTGAGCACACCATTTGTCAAACTAGTTTTAGGGTTTACACAGTTGATCAAATAATATGGTCCATCACCTAATAAGTTAAATTAGTTTGAGGCATCCAATTCTATGCAGATCTTTAAGAAAGCCCTGTCATGTATACTTTAATCGAAAAGCTGATATAAGATGCTACAAAATGTTGCAATGAAATGCGGCAAACAGGTGATCAACCATGAAGTTTCCAGAATCTTAATGGATGAGACAGTTAGTGTCCTTGATGGGTTCTTTGGTACAATTCACATTCATAGCTGGAGAATATCACAAGAACGAACAAGAAAAGAAGTTTAAGAAAGAAAAACCAACACAAACATCGTAATTAGTGTCTGGACATATGTGTTTAGGCAGGCAAAGGCAGGCTCAGACTTACACTTGCTTGAACTAATCAATTTGTTTAATAAATTTTATGTTATGAGACACCAGTTGGTTGGCCTGAAAGCCATGTGGGTAGATGTCTCGATAGCTCCATTCTATTTTATTTTCCCGCCAAGCACAATTTTATTAAGCAAAAAACAAGCTACAAGACCAGAAGAAGGCATCCTCTCTTATATACATGTATAACCAAAAAGAGGAATTTATACCTATTAATGGATTGATCAAAGAATAATTGAATAGCTTTCACAACATCCATACTCACAATATCCCAGGAGGTTTGAAAAAAATCTTGGAGGGAAGCCTCATTCTATTCCACAGAGTCTGACAATCAAAAGTTCATCATCCTGTCTATAACCATGAAACAAGTTTCCATATTGGCCTACAACAATGGAATAGAAACTCTAAAATATTGTTATTCTGATAGAACCTAAAAATAATCAAGATGATATCATTGAATGTGGTAAAAAAGTTCAGTTTCTTTAATGGCCTCCCATTAGACAACATGAGTGTCGTTTTAAAGTAATGTGCTAAGATAACATTGGTGTCTTCATTAATTCCACCAGTTGAATTGATCAGGTATGTCAATTATCAGGCCATTATGAAAATACAAGATTCATCATTCCTTGCAAATAAATAAATAAATTAATTAATTAAATTAAATACTGGGGAGGTACAGGAACAGAGAGCATCCAAGCAGGACCACTGGAGTTCTAAAGCACCAATTACATTTCAAATATGAATAACAAAACTCAGTAATACTATATAAAGACAGAGACATCTTGCAGGGACCAGTTTTGGTTCAATTAATAGATTTCACATTATTGTGGTCCTCATTTGATAGATTTTACATCATCATGATCTTCAATAAATGATTAAATTGTATCTCAAATCCAAAACAAAATGGCATTTATACTAATGGAAGGAACTGATATATTTGGACTCATTACAGCATGAATTAGTTTTACGTGTAAAGAAAATCGAAAGCTATGCTATACTTTGTCTGTGATATTGTGATGATAAGGGTATATTAAAGGACAATGCAATATATAATGTTTAGCAAATCCATCTTCTATATTATACGTCAAGGTCGTCTACGTAAATATTCTAAATCAGTGTTGATATGGACAACAAGATGTAGCTAGGACCAAGGAATACCAACTGGTGTGGAATATAATTTTCTTTGATCCTTGTGAAGTTGTTTTTGTCCTTGAATCAAACTTCTTAAATAAATTAGTAGATTTAGTTGCTCTAATGCTCATCACATTAACACCTTTTAGTAATCAGTCTTTATCCTGGAAAATGAAATATCAATTTTTTTTCCCCGAATAATTCATAATTCTGGAGCTTATGGTTGGCCAATAGTAGTACACAAGCTTGCAAGATGCAATTCAGAAACTATATATAATACCTAAGTTTCTCACCTCCTCATAACCATCTAAATCCTTTTTCACTTGATAAGATAGAAATCAAGGTTCAGTAGAATGGTAAAACTTATTTCTAGCTGGTGTAAAGATGTTCAGTGCATACCTAAAAATTATGTATTCCCACCAGATATAAGACCAGGGGAGCTCATTTTTCCTGTAAAGAGTGGTCCGGTAGTTGATCTCAGCAAAAACGTTGGACAGGACCGAGATGATACAATACAACAAATTATAAAAGCAGGCCAGGAATTTGGATTCTTTCAGGTTCAATTTTCCATTTCATTCACAACTTAGTGGTCAAACATATCACACATTTGTTTCTAATTAATTAATTTGATATATAAGATGCTAATAAAAATACTGTACTTAAATGCTGTGGAGCAGGTGATCAACCATGATGTTTCAGGAAGTTTAATGCAGGACACGAAGAGTCTGTTGAAAGAGTTTTTTGACATGCCAGACGAGGTCAAGTCAAGCGTCTTCACTCCAGATGTTAGTAAGAGGTGCAGGCTCTACACAAGCAGTTTTTTTTATCCCAATGAGGAGATTCATTATTGGAGAGATAATTTGACACACCCTTGTCATCCTGCGGAGGATTGTATGCAACTTATGCCTGAAAAGCCTACTAGATACCGGTAAAAGACTGCAGTTTCATTAGTCATCATACTTTGTGTGTAACAATTATAATGTAGCATGATAAAGCTAGGCTTAATAGCTTGTCAAAAACTTAGATAACTAAATTTTGGTTTTCATTTTCTTTCCTGTAATTATCAGAGAAATTGTTGGGACATATTCAGTCGAAGTGAGGAAGATGATCATGAAGATTTTGAATCTCATTGGTGAAGGACTGGGACTAGAACAAGGGTACTTTGGAGGTGACCGGAGCAAGTTTGAGGTACTAGCAGCTAATCTTTACCCACAGTGCCCTGACCCGAGCCTGGCCTTGGGAGCTCTTAGACACTGTGACCCTAACCTCATAAGCATTCTAAATCAAGGAGGTGTCTCGGGACTTCAAGTCTGTAAAGATGGAAAATGGTTTGTTGTTGAGCCTATTCCTAATGCATTTGTGTTCTTAATTGGCTGCCAGTTACAGGTATATCTTCATCCCTTGATTAATTCAAATTCTAGCTAATCTCTTTTACTAAAAATTTATCTTACTTAATATATATGATTAATAATATTTTTATTGTATTTATTCTTTGTGATCGTATAGATTATCAGTAATGACAAGATCAGAGCTGCTGAACATCGAGTGGTGACAAATTCAAAAGAGGATCGGATCAGTATTGGCTATTTTGTTATCCCAACTTATGAATGCATTATAGAGCCTGCAAAAGCTCTCGTTAGTACATGCAACCCACCACTCTATAAAACCTTGCAGTACACAGATCTTCTTAACTCCTTTGATAAGAACTATGGTAACTATAAAGGTATGATGGAGAGTCATAAGCTTCAAGTTGAGTAATGGTGTTTGAAAGAGAAGTGCTATATATGATCTCAGTGTATCGTATCATATTGCAAGTAAATAAAGATGTGGTTTTAGTGTTTGTCCCTGAGGGACTCTGGCCACACAACTGAAATGTAAATTATATTCATATATTTCAATTGGTTGATATTTACATTCATTGTGAGATATTATGTGATGACCTGAATTTTCAAAATTTTAATTGTCTAAAATTATTTATTTATTAAAAGTTAGTGGGTTTTGAAATTTAATTTAGTTTTGTTATATATATATATATGTGACGTTTCTGATTTTCGGCACTTTCCATTTTTTCGAAATTTCGTCGAAGTAAGGATATTTCTGTCTTTTCACGTTTTGCGTGTGGGATTGTGGTTAGGTCCAATTGCATTTGGTGCATTTTAATTTATATAATGGTGTGACATTTATATGGTGATGCATTTTATATGGTGTAAAATTTCAAGTAAAAGATAAATAGAAAAGAAATAAAATTCATAGGGCCCACCATAATATCAAAAGTGGTCTAGAGACCACAATTCTGCCTTCTCATTTATCTCTCCCGTAAGTTCCTCTCTCTCACTCTTGTTCTTGTTCTTGCTTTTTCTTTTTCATTTTACTTCAAATCTTTGAAGCTTGATTCCATCTTCAATCCTTGGAGTTTTTGAGTGCTATTTGAGGCAAAACGAAGAGCATGACGAGCTCTACGCGTGTGTACCAGAAATTCTAGCTTTGAGCCTCCCTAGGGACTTCGAAAATTTGAACCCATTTTAAGTTTTGTTCAAAATCAAAGTAGGGGTTCTTAATCCATGAAGTCTTGTGCTTTAGTGAATTAATCTTTCTTAAATTGTTGTTTAGCATGATCAATTGTTTAAAACTTTAGTAAATTGTTAGTTGTTATGTGTATACATTAATTGTGCAACTATGTGTGGCAAATGAGTTATGTAAAGAGCATGTTTATGGGATGATTTAAAAATGTTCGTCTTGCTAAAATTATATGTTATAAAAGCATGTTGTAATTTCTTTAGAAATCCTTGTGAAACTATGCTTCGATTTCTAAAGTTGAATTGGTTATGGAATAATGGACATGTACATGGTATTGATGCATCCATGCACTTGCATTGGGCATGAAGTGGGAGAATTTTTCCTTTGAAATAAAAAGTGGAATTTTGGGAAAGAGTTTTTATGAAATGGTTTTATGAAAATCCGGTCGCTGCGGAGTCACCAACGGGCTGGTAGGTTAATGTAACCTAGAGGGAACTACGGAGAATGCCCTAGCGTGGTTGAGCTATCTGGGCCCCACGATGACGCTGCGGAGTCACCAATGGTCTAGGGACAGTAGCCAATCCTTCTCTCGGCGCTGAGGGAGTAACAAAGGGGGTTACATTAACAGTTTGAAAGTGATGGTTTCGAATATTGGAAATGGGAAATGACATCGGCATGCATTGCATTCCATGGCATTGCATTGATTGTATTTGAATTTGGTTAGTATGTTGTTTTGTCCCGACATTATATGATCTCCATTCCCATTGTTCTATGCTTTGTTTTGGATTCACTGGGACACAAGAGACGTGTCTTAAGTGCTACCTACTGATCGATTTGCATACTCTATTATAATTATCATTTTTTCAGGACATGGAAAAGAAGTAGCTGACAGTAATCCACCTCAGCCTTAGCTTGGAGTAGAGAAATGTCTCTTTCGTTATCTTTTGTAAATGGACCTAATTTTTTGTAAAGTACTAACTCAAGATGTATTATTTTTGCAACGTGTGGTGTATTGAGGTTCATTTTGTATATGGCTATTGTGAAATTGTAATTAAGTTTTACTCACTCTAAATCAGTTTGTGTATTTTAAGTAACGTGTTGCAAATTACGTGAACAACGTGGTTGGTATTATTGTATTAGATGTTGTAATGTGTTTAATTTCGTACGTGAGTGCAGTGGCGTGGGTGGTTAATTATCAAATGTTGGTGTATATGGGTGCATACTGGACAGTGGGAAGTGGAAGTGAGAATTACCTAGAATAGGTCAACGTATAGCTTCCCATATGTCGATCGGTATCTTGACAGTGTAGGTCATTGTTGCAAACAATGTAAACCAGTCAACGTATGGCTTCCCATACGTCGACCGGTATCCTGACCCCAAACCAGTCGATGTAAAAATTCTATACGTCGACCGGTATCTCGGCAGTGGGTTTTCCACTATTCATAACCCAAACCAGTCGACGTATAATGTGCATACGTCAACCGGTTCACGTTCCACATATGAGTTCTATTTAGTTTCCCAAATTACATTTTGGCACCCAATTTATGTTACAAGTATTTATTTTATGACCCAATAAAATGCAATAATTATATTTTAACCACTGAAAAGGCCACGTTGCCCGGGATTTTATTTAATTTATTATGTGATACAAGTAAAATACATTTATGTCCTTTGGGTCTCAAGCCATGTGAATAGTAGAAAATTACCATCTTGCCCTTTTTGGATGTTAATGTTTAAATTTAACGTAAAAGTACCGTATTACCCTCGGACGATTCTAGGTCAGGTAAGGACCCCGTTTAATGATCCGGATCCAGTGTATTTGGGTCGTTACAGAATGGTATCAGAGCCATGGTTCGAAAACCTTAGGACGATGGGTGGAGGCCTATGTAGGATTGTATAGGAAGTTGTTTGCATTGCGTATGAGATTAATTGTTACGTGTTTTGATATCTGAAGAATCATGTTTACTTGTTTACTTGCTTATCTGTTTAATTGCCTACGTGCTAATTTGCTTACGTCATCATATGCTTATATATTATATGTGTGTAGCACTAACTTAAATGATCCATGAATATGAGTTATGTTTTCAGTATGTAATTGTTTAGCAGGCGCGTTTTTATGTTGTATTAGTTTTACGAATTGTCACCTCCGACTAGGAAAGGTATCAGTGTTGTGAGCATGGGTGATGTGAATAGCATGATCCTTTGAGTCCGATTTGATTTAGACGTGTTGTTCCATTCGGAGTCTTTTCCCTTGAGGCTAGTAAAGGTGGAAGAGTTGATCTTAGGTGTCTTCCGAGACGGGAGTCCTCATTTTCTTGCACGGGCGAGAGTTTGTGCTGTGTTTCCTCAGTGTAGCGAATGGACTCTTGGGATGATGGATTAGTAGAGTAGGGTATGTGAGTCATGGGATTCTTTTCTCGTACGCAAAGTTGTTATGATGTCACAAGATGTGAGGTGGGTTGTAGAGTGTGACTTGTGAGATTCAAGTGTTGTATGGGTTGGTATCTGGATTCTTATTTAAAAGTTCACTGATGTTTATGGTTGAGAGTTTGTTCTTTAGATTGTCATTTTGAGAGTATGAATTGTGGTTGACCTTGGGTTGGTGACGAAACGAGTAGGTTGCACCTTCTATTTTGACTTCCAATGAGGAAGACAGAAGTTCAGTGTGATGTTGTTTGGTGACCATAGAGTGTTAGTCATAGATTGGGTTGAGCCAAGATGAGGAGTGACCTCTTGGGCTTGGTGGCCTGTTCTATTTGATTTCTTTAATTTGTGGCCCCGTGGGCGGGTGTGTGTGAACGTGTGCAGGTGGCACCAAAAGGCTACCATACTGGGCGAGCTACGGGCACACAACTCAGATGAAATAGATGTGGACATTCCATTGTGTTGGATAGTAATTGTACCTATTAGCTGGGTAATGATAGTGCTGGGGGTGTAAGGGTTGTATACCCTTTTGTTTAGTTGGGCAGGTCAGTTGTAGGCATGACTTGAGTGTCTAGTTGGATACTAATAGGACACCATTGTTTTGTAGTCATCATCTGCTACAGTTTTTGTGTTTGACCATTTAGCGTAGCATTTTCCTCTTAGGGACTGTTTCTGTAGTGTGCCATGTATGATTCCTTTTCTTGTAGCAGGCTGTTGACTATAGTGCCAGGTATCATGAATGATGTGTGTTTTCATGTCGAGTTAGCGCCATCTGAAGGAGTGGTTGGTAGTGAAAACTTGTTGTTTCCAAGGGATTAGAGTTGTGCAGTCATTTTGGGAAGGATTATCATGGGGTATTAGTACTTGAGGTTCTTATAATGTAGAGTAAGTTAGTTTAAGGGTGATCCCAGTATTCAGGAAGACAGTGGGGATTGATCGCATTATTGATGGTTTTAAGGAGATAGTTGGGTGTTGAGCATTTTGGATTTTTATGCTCATTTTATTTTTTGGTTTTGTTGGCATGGCATTGCCGTATGGATGTTCTTTAAGAATAGTAAATAATGGTCATTGTAGGAAGTATTGAGAATAAAGCTCATTTTATTGTTGTGACAGTGTTATATTAAGGTTATTGAAAGAAGAATTGCTTGGTAGTGGCTTGATGGTTTGATAGGGTGATAGGCTTAATGTAATACCCCTAATTTTTAAAAGGATATAACTGGAATTTCTTTATTTATTTGATGTGCATTTTATTGATTTATTGATTAGTTGATTTATGTGCATTTAAATATGATTTATCTGGCTATGTGTTTAAGGGTTTTTTATTTTCTTAATTGATAATTGTGTTTGTTTAAATTCATTGTAATTGTTTTTAATTTAATTATTGGTTAATTTAAAGTTTTGATTATTAGTGACTTAATTGACGTGTAGTTTTTGGTAGGTTATATAATTTAGGTGTGTTGTATTTATGGTTTAGATTTAGGGTTTTATTTTCGTGTAGTCGCCGACTTAAATTAGGTTTTACGTAAATCTTATAAATATACGGTTATATAATTTGACTTAAGGTTGGGACGTATTTATATAAATCTTATACGTCTGCTAGGGTGAGAAAATTAAAACTCAATTCACGTAGGGGTTTATGAGAGGAAAAACAGAGAGGTTTCTTGAGAAGGAAAAACAGAGGGAAATTGAGAGAATCAATTAGGATTGCAGCCATGGATTGAAGGTGGGATTAAGGAAGAAAGAGTCAATGGCTTGTGGAATAAAACTGGAACAGTGGGAGAGTTGCAGGTAGTCTACAGTTCGTTACAGAATTTAGCAACGGCGATGAAGGTTTCAAACCAGAATCTTAAGGCAAGTTTCAGTCTATTCCTCTCCTGTAAACTTGTGTTCTGTGCATTCTAAATGGTCTCCAGG